GTTATCACTAGATGATAACGCGGTGCACATTTCAGTTTTTAAGGAACATTTTGAAAACGAGGTCTGAGATTTCGAAAGCACCATCGGGTTTCTCGCGAAATTTCCGATTAAGCAAGCCTACATGTGATAGGGTTCGGAGTTCAAATAATAATACGGAATAAGACGTGCTCTTAGAGAACTTTTGTTCTAAACCCTATCACATGTAGGCTCGTTTGGTCGGAAATTTTATGGGAAATTAAATTTCAACGCTCGTTTAGAAAATATTCTACAAAAACTGAAATGTGCACCACGTTATCATCTAGTGATAACATGCGCTATTACGCTGTTTTCAGTGAATACAAATATCATGCAATAACAGTCGTAATAGACCATTTATTAACTATTTTTAACCTTTGTTCGGCCATGGAACGCGTTTGCAGGCCGACAGAACCGTTGCGAATGCCTCATAAGTATTATGTAAGGAAAACATGATTTTGTGATGTGCGGGTTGCCTACCGATACTGATAGAGGTTCAAAATTGTCACACGACCCAGCGGAAGTCAATACTTACCACACAGAACAACAATGGGAAGGTTTAAGTTGGAAAACGCTCGTTAAAACCATCAAAGCCCTCGAAAACTAATACAGGGGTCAAAATGACCCCTTCGGTAGAGCGAGGTATATGTTATAATATCCCCTAAAGTTTTTAACGCACATGCCTGATTTTTCGTGTCAAGGCGTATTTTGGTGACCCATAAAGAGTCAAACAGGGGCGGGTCGGTAGAAATTTTTTTTGATAGTTCATTTGGCAATTCAAAATCAAAAGGGGTCATTTTGACCCCTCCGGTAGTTCTAGTGTTAACGCATCTAATTCCCCCATTTTATCCTAATGTGGAATCCTAAACATGTTAAAATTTGACACTCATTTATATTTCGCCATGAAAACACAAAATTTTAGCTAAAATAGTGAGCCGCAACCAAGCTACGAATCATTATTGGAAGGGAAAAGGTTGCTTATTTACAGCAATGTGAAAACAATTCATATCAGGAAAACCGGCAGAGATAGAGCCTTCTTAAAATTTTCTTCCAGAGGCCGTAAAATTGCGTGTTCAGTCAAGAAAAAAATACGACCAATATTGAGGTTTTCAAAACCACCTCTTATGGCAGGCCAGAATAACAGGCAAGGTAGGGTTATGAAAACGTTAATGAAAAAACTAAAAAAACTCAATAGTTTTGATTATTTTTTTCGGGATGAAGGAGGTGACCCATTCCAGATATCCTAGTTCATGCCATGCCTAGAAGTGTTAGGAGCACCCACAAAAATCGGAACTTCAACGGCCCGACCGTGTGGCCGGAATCCGGGACACCATGACAAGACGACAACGCTGCAGTGCCGTTTCCAACATGGGATATCTCAGCTTTGGGTAGGCGTATCGACGTCATACACATCGCTTTATAAAGTCAAAAGTATGCGCTACAAAACGGTATACTCGGTTTTGTTTTAGAAACTATACGTTCTATAAAATTAATTACGCAAATCACTCTAAGTTTAAGCCCGCTACACTAGGATGCCCCCTAAAAATAGCCAAAAACAACAAGTATTAACTAGGGGCTCAACTGTGATGCAAGGCATTAATATCTTCTTTCATTTCAGGCCAATATGCGGATCTTGTCAATCTTTCAAATGTTCTGAAGAACCCTCGATGACCACTTGTCGGCAAGTCATGACTCTGACGTAAGATTTCTTCTCTATGGGCCTTGGCGATAAGTTGAACAGATCTGAAAGGCTCTTGATTTCCCACAGAGATTTGCTCCATTAAACATCCGGATGGTACAGAAAATTTCTCATACCGATCAGGAGACTTTTGGACTTTCTGCATCACATTCAGGTACCAGTCATCCTTAAAAGTTGCAATATCAATCGAAGGCTGTATCAACAGAGGTGCGACTTAAGGCACCAGGCGCTTCCATACATTTTCTACTTCTGTGAGAAATTCACTGATGATTTGACAAAGGGGTTTAAGTCCACTTGAGCTAATTTTTCAGGAGGGCTAAAAGTGTGTCTAATTCTAGCCTGGCTGCTACAGTTTTAAAGCTAGATTACTTTTTCCTTTACAGAATGTTTTGTTCAAGGACACATTACCTCTCTGCGAAACATGTGCAGCTCTATCTCAATTAGAACAGATTTTAGTGTGACTTATGTGTTTTGATACCCCCTTGTGGATCTGACAAAGGGACGTAAGTCCACCAGGGGGATCTGACAAAGAAACATAAGTCCAGACATAATCTCACAGAGGAACGTAAGTCCACCAGTTGGATTTGACAAAGGAACATAAGTCCAGGTGTAGCTTCACAAAGGAACATAAGTCCAGGTGTAGCTTCACAAGGGAACATAAGTCCAGGTGTAGCGTTGCAGGTGTGACTCTTCCCAAGATCAACAGTCACACCAGCTGCGGCCAATTTCTCAAAGATTCTGCTTATAAGTTACAGATGACCGACCCAGTCACGACGCAATGGCTGTCACTGATGAGGTCTTGGAGGATTGATTCAACAGTTCTTTGCCACCGGTTTGCAGCGTCCTTCAATCCAGCAGACATGCATGCATATTGAATTGAAAATGGCCTCTCCAAGGAACATAGAAGGCAGTCTTCTGTCTTGATTCAGGAGAAAGTTCAATTAGGAGTTATGCATATGATATAATATCTATTGTTGACAGAAGTGCTGCTCCACGTAATCCGGCAAGCATTGGATTGATTCTTGGCAGAGGATAAGCAGAATCAGAAGTTTCAATGACGGAATTCAGTTTCCTAAAATCAACAGCCCACCGGAAGCCCTTGTCTTTCTTCGGTATGATAAGGAGGGGTGACTGCCAAGGAGAATCAGCACGTTCAACAATGTCTTCTCGCAATCTTCTGTCAAGTTCAGTGTTAACATCCGTCAATACTCGGGGATTAACATTGTAGTAGGTGAAACGAAAACGCTTTGCATCTCCAGTATTGATGTGATGTTGCACTCCGTGCACTCGGCACAATCTTCCAGTTTAGGATAAGCTTGAATTGTTGCAGTAGCTTGTCAAGCTGCTTAATTGGTTAAGAATTGAAGACATCTTCTTTGATGTCGGGTGGTTGAGGCAAAATTTCAACAGCTTAACTCAACGCTCAGGCTAGGCACATACAGAACTGACATCACTCTGACGACTCCCTCGATATCAAAAGGCACAAGAAATTCTCCTTCAATAGATGTTAAAGCCTTGTTGGCAACACGGATAGTTCCATATTCTGAAGGTTTCATTTCCATCCAGCATCTTGTTAAATTGACATACCTCTCTCCCCAACCAATGTTTGAAAAGAACCTGAGCCCAGGAGCCCTTCATTCTTGATGCCCAGGATGTTTACTTCAAGATATCCTCGTCTATCAGAGCCAAAGTGGATGTCGAGAGTCAATAGGGTGGGCCGCTGTCTTCCTGCTTTTTGGAAATTAAGGAGCTTAAGGGCTTTTCACCTTGGAATCTAGTGCCTTTTGCCCTTTCCGGTTTTAGAATTTAAGTGGGCCCGCTGGGTTGAGATGGGGTCTGCCCCTGATTCCCATCTCGGTCCCGTTTTTCCGATGTCTTTGCAAACGACTTCCCAGAAGCCATTGTTTTCGTACAGTGTTCACTACGTTCAGCACTTGTGTTTTTCATGCCACATCCAATGCAAAATATCTTGGTCTTGCACTGCATTGAAAAATGTCAATTTCCTCCACAGTGCCAACACTCAAGAAGTGCGGGGCTGCGTTCCTCGCGAGGTGTCGGCACGGTGGCGGCACCTTCGTTTTTGTTCTTCTTCCGCTCCGCGCTGTGGACCAATACCCTATTAACTCGTCTCGGGTGTTAGCGCCGCAGGCCTAGCTTTATGTGTGCCAGGCGCGTCGCAGTGTAACAGTGTTTCGTGGGATATCCCGAAGCCTGTTACGCGAGACGTGATCTGGCGTACATATAGGTATTTCATTGTAATCCTATGCAATTTACCCGCAACAAAACGAAAATTGCGAAATAAAAGAAAGCTGTAAAACTTCTGAAAAATGACATTTGTGTTTTACTTTTTGCCTACCCCCACAGAGGGACAACCGTGGATCAAAAAATTTCATCAAGTGTCTTATAAATCGAAAAAAGAAGTTGTGTACCCCAAACCGCAGTATTTTAACAGATAAAACGGTGAAATAGTACCCAAGGGGTGCTACCGGTACACAATTCACATTCGGTTTAACGTTACAGTATTAGTGAATAATAGTTTACACATTCCTCAAACAAAGCGCCTAAAAATGCTTCTGCGTTTCCCTTTGAAGCTTGGAGCCTTGTGAGAAATGTTGCTTTGTTCAATAAACAATAAATCTGGGTGAAGAGCTCTTTGGGTCAATCATACACATGGGGTAAATTAAGAGGGGATGCAATACTTGTGGGTATATTACAACGGGCCAAAGTTACGTTGGGGAAATCGCTCCTGGGTGAGTGGGCCTCGATGCCCCCGGGGTCAAAATGACCCTCTTCCGGTAGATATAGGTATACGAAAATCCCGGTAGTACTATTGTTAATAATCTGCCAAACTCATATGTTCCACAGGTCTGCCCCCTTGTAATACTGGCAGTATTATCGGTGTAATACACATAAACGTTACGGACGCTGCCCTGATGAGTTGGATACTCGCAAGTATTCAACTTTCGGTTGCACACTTGTATAGATCTTAGCAGTGCGAGACTTGGTTTATCGGTGATCACAAGGATACACGTCAGAAGCATCATATCTGGACCAGCTCCCAAACTGTAGCGTGTATCACTTCCCGGGGAACAAAAAAAGGAAAAAAAAACGGATTGAAAGGCGTTGCAGTAAAGCATTCCGGTAAAGCCAAAATGCAGAAGAATGCGAGAAAGAAGAAAACGGATATAACTATAAACTTAAACATAGAACTTCCGTTTCCTTGATCCCTGCATTCTTCTGCATTTCAGCTTTACCGGAATGCTTTATTACGGAGGTGGCACTGTACCTGGTTGGAGGATGCAGCCTCCCTCTCCACCGTGTCGGCAACTTCAGCAGCTCGCTTAAGGGCCTCCTGAGCTATGTGCCTTCTTTTAACGAAGATTCCGAAGGAGACGAATCCCGAGTAACTTCCGATGACAGCTCGGATTGGTAGCCGCGTTGCTTCAGTATTTTCAGCCATGATAATATCTAGAATGGTGGTACCCATGTACATCGGATAGAGCACCAGATTTATCTGCATGGACACACAGGAAATGAATTAACAACTGCGTACTGGCGCTTGTCAATCACTTGATGATGTGCAATAAGGAAACAGGGCTTCGTAACTTATCACAACACGAACGAATGTTAGTTACACAACGTAACAAAACACATGTCAAATTAAAGGTTAAAGTTATCGATTTTGAAATATATCCGATACAAACCGTACAGTAGGGAAAAGTTGGACAAGTCGAATAACCAGTTTATTTGCCATGAACTGAAGTAAAAGTTACAAGTTATAATTTCAACTCTTAAATTAACGTTCATGGCAGTTAATTAATAAGTTTCGGACACATGGTTTCAGAGCCAGTTCAGGTAGCACAAGACTAAAACTCTGGCGAAAAACAGCTGTTTTGAGATCAAGGTGCTAATTAAATTAATAAAAAGCTCTGTATTTCAATCTAAGCTAGTTCATTGCGGTTCTTTTAAGGTTTAATACGTCTATACTTAAACGTAACTGTGCCCCCCTAACTTTTGGGCAGAGGGGGGGG